CCGAGCCCCGGAGCCCCCAGCCCCCTCGCTCCCACCAGTGACCTCACTTCCTACATTACTGAGGCCATGGCAGCTGGCCAGCAAAAACTCCCTCCTCGTCCTCCCCCTCCACCGCAGACAGGCAGCCACCTCATCCCTGCTCTCTGGGAATGCCTCTGGGGACGTCATCATGCTCCCACTCCTCCAGGACTCCTGCCCATAAGAGTCCCTGCACTCATGCCCCCAACTCTTCTCCACTGGCTTCTTCCTCCTGGTGTACACGAGTACCCTGGCCCTAACTTCAGAAGACACGCCTGCACACACACACACACGCACGCACACACAACACACAAGCACACTCGGTCCTTCCCTTAGTCTTCCCGTTCCCTGCTAACCTCTGAGACCAGGCAATCAGAGCAACTCCATTTCCTCACCACTCACTCACCCCTCCACTCCTCAGGCCTGGTCACCACCACAGGGCACAAATGGGCTACTCCTAGGCCACCTGGATTTCCTCTTTTTTTTTTTTTTTGGAGAGGTTTTTGCTATAGGACGCGTGTGCTCGCCAGATAGACAGAGAGAGACAGAGAGATAGAAAGCGAGAAATCACTCCCCAGGGGGGATGGCCACGCCGCAATCCCTTCTCCTCCATTCTCCTCTCGGGATCTTGGGCACACACGCACACGCGCCCAGCGTGAGTTTAAGTCACTGGGTCCAGGACTCGAACCGCGGTCGACTACGTGGGAGTCCAGCAACATAGCCATTATGCTAACTGCTGGTCCCCCACCTGGATTTCCTCACAGTCAGATCTCTGGTCTTGCTAGACTTCTCAGTTCCTCACACCATTACAACCCCTCTCCATGGTCCCCGCTCTTTATGTCCTTGTCCCACCCTGTCTGCTGGCTCTTCCCCCTCCCACCAATCAACCCAGCTCAACTCAAGGTTCTCCTGGGGCCTCAGCCCCATGTTTATTGCCTGGGACACCTCACCAGCCCCAATTGCCTGCTTCAGTGTCCTCGTGCACAATCATCATACAAGGGATCTTCGGAAAGGTCATGGGAAATGCAGATGATGAGAAAACAGCATGGCTTTTTAAAATATGCACCAAAATAAACTTGTAGTTTAATTCCACTATTTCACACATTCTTGAAGTTCCCTCTTATACCTATAGTTTAAGGCCCTCTCTGAAAACCAGTCCTGCATTTCTAATGGAGTAGCAGTTCCAGCTGAAAGTCCTTCTGGAACCTGTTGCTCAACACACTGACAGCTGGACCCCTCCTCTTCCCGTCCAAACCATTTCCCCTTCTGAACTTCTCTATTTTGTCAGCAATACCGTCATTCCCCAACATGCCCTGCCCTGACCCTCCCTGGCATTCTTCCCCTCCCCTTCCCCCTCATCTCCCAACTGCTTATCAGCTGCTGCATCCTGCAGCTTCTTCCTCTGAACAGCTCCATACTGGGTCTTACTTTTCATTGCAACTAATGCTACTGTCGCCCAGGAGAGAACTTGAACATCACTGGCCAGCCTGCCTCTAACATACACCTCTGCTGGAAAACTTTCCAAAATGCTTCCAGAAGCACTGCTTCCACCAGCTCTCCTGACGCCTGACTCAGCCACACACCTAACTGGAAAGTCACAAATGCCTCTCCAACATCCACAGGCTCCTAGGAGTGCCATTCCAGCTCCTGTTCCCTCTAGCCCCCTACCTGAAATTACTAAGCATCGCTCGGGGATTTCCCCATAGGAACCCACTACTTTCTGTTCTCCAAACACCCCTTATGCATGTGCGCCCTTGAGTTTGGCTCATGGGACTCCCCTCCGAATGCTCTTCCCTCTCGTCCCTGGTTCTCCAGTCCTGCCTGTCCTTCAAAGCACACTAACTCAATGAGGTCTCTCCTAACTTGCAGTCCCCACATCAACACCCTTTTCAGAGTTCCTGGAATCCATGGGATTCTCCAAAACTCACTGGTTCTTGGCAATCCTTCCTATACTGTCTACAGACATGATCTGGTGACACTGCAGATGGCCGGGCCAGAGGTCCATCAGGGTCCTTTCAACTTGGAAAGGGAGAGAACAGGGAGAGAACATCTTCTAATTATACTTCAAGCATTTATGTGCTCGAGAACCCAGCACTTTCTAGGCAATCGCTCACTTAATCTTTGCAACCACTATCTGGGATGGGTGGCCTTAAAGAAGGGGAAACTGGGGCTACAGGTTCACCTTACTGGCCTAAGGTATGACAGTTTGTGAGATGCTGGGCCAGGAATTCTATCCAGGTCCAGCGTCTCCCCAGGGCTGAGTGTCTTGGAGCCATCCCTTCCTGCTGTGCCCGCCAGCGCACAGAGCACAGTGCCTGGCACTGCGTGGGTGCTGGCGCAGCCAGTGTTTACTGGGACTGCACCTCTTATCTCCAGATGGACCCTCAGGCAGTGGACGTGCTCAGAGGAGGGAGAGATGAACTCAAGACCCAAACACGGAAGGAACCAAGGTTGGACTGGTGATCTCATCCCTCCCCTTTAGCAGCCTGGGCCAGGGGGCACCAAACTCTCCCAATTCAGAACTCATGCCTCACAGCCTACTCCAAGTCGGGACTGCCCAGCCCCAGACCCTGCCAGGGCCCACTTCCACCAGTGCTTTCTCCTTCCATTGTCCCACCAGCCTAAGCCCACGGGAGAAAAACTCCCACCCTGCCAACGCCTCACCTTCCCCAAACACAACCCCACTCCTTACTGCCAGGACCCGGGTCTTGGAGTCCTCCACCTTCCTCACCTGGCTTTGGTTCTGAGCTGGTGGGGACACTGGGTGCTGCTTCTCTTGCACACGGGGCTTCTCCCTCTGCTGAGCATGGGCGAAGCTTGGAGGCTGAGGAGAGCTGATGCCGGTGGAAGAGGGCACTTCTGCGGGCCCCAGTTTTGGGTTGGGCTGTGACCCTGGTCCACTGGGGGCTCCAGGACTAAACTTGGAAGCCACAGGAGTAAATTTGGGAGCCACTGGCGAAAACTTAGGGGCTGGAGCTGGAGATGGGGCTGGGGGCCCTCGAGGCTGTGTGGGAGCTGAGGCCACAGGCTGAGGCTGGACCCGGAACTGGGCTTGGGGCTTGGCCTGGGGCTTAGGCTGGGCGTGAGGTTGGCTCTGGGGTTGAGCCTGCACCTGGGAGCTAGAAGGGGCCTTCCAAGGAGGCAGAGGTGCTGTGTCCCCTGCTGTGGGCTTAGTACTAGGTTTGGAAATGAATGGAGTGGCAACTGCCGGGGGCATATATCCAGATGACACCTGGAGAGGAGGGAAGAGAAGTGCAGTTAGGGTGGTGAAGTCTATCCCTCCACCCTGAGCCCTACTTTTCGGACTGTCAGGCCCTTACCCGCGCTTTGAAGGGATCATTCTTGGTCATGTCATCCAGCAGCGAGGACAGAGAGTCGATCTCCAGGTCAATACTGCTCACCTTCTCCCTGGGCTGGAGGACCAGGGGTCAGTGCAGTCGGGTCCTCCATTCCCACCCCACCCCATTGGGCAGAAGTGCAAGTGGCGGGCATGAGGAAAGGACCCTCTTCTCCTTTCCTGGGGAGCGTCCCGGTGCATCTGCCCACCCTGGCCTCCATACCTGAGGTGGGAGTGGTGTGGGGGCCTCAGGCCCTCCGTCCTCCGCCAGCGGGGGCGGTGGGGACGGGAAGATCTCCTCCTCCAGAGGCGCAGGGGGGAATGGCTCCTCGATCGGGGGAGGGGGAGGTGGGAAGACGCCTCCCAGGGCAGCCTCCGAGTCGTCACCATCCCCAAGGAGAGGAGGGGGTGGTAAAGGAAAGTCTGGGGAAGAGAAACGGGAGGAGCAGTCAGTCGGGACCGTCCAGCCTTTCTCCAAGTTGTCCTCCGGTCTACAGCTCTAACCCCTAGCCTGGGAGCTCTCAGGTCAGGGAGTGAGTGGGAAGGAAAGGAGGGGCGCAGGGCGCCTGGGAGCCTCGGGTCAGGACAGGCCGGGGCCGGCCGCGGAGTGATGCAGCTCCCGTTACACTTCGGAAAACGGACCCGGGGAAGATTCGCGGCCCACATTCCCGCCTCCCACCCCCAGGCGGGGACTTGGATCCTTCCCAGGAACCCTGGCTCCAAGCCAGAGCTCCACGATGAGGTAAGATCATCTGCTCGGGACAGGGAGGCTGCGCCCAGCCCCCTCCGCAAAACCTTTCCAGACGCCCCCCAATTCCCGCGCCCACTGCCCCGGGGCGCCCGCCGCATACCTTCCGGGGGCGGCGGGGGGATCTCGCCCACCCGGCCCATCTGTGCGCGCTGGGCCCCGGCTGCCGCGGGAGGCTCGCTGTCCCCTTGCCGGAAAGCATTCACTTTGGGCTTTGGGGCCACCACCGGGCCGAACTTCTTCTGCGGGGCGTAAAAAGCCGGAGCCGAGACCGAGACGGAGATCGCCGGAGGCGGGCGGGGGGGAGGCGGGCGGGGGGCCGCCATGGCCAGGCCGGCTGCTGGGGGTGGTCGCCAGGTTACGCAGCCCCGCGGGGCTGAAGACCTCCCGGAGGTCCGAGCTCCACTCCCGACCGCCCCTGCTCCCCGCCCCGGCGGCGCGCCCTCCCAGGGGGCCGCCCGCTGCTCCCGGCGCCTCACCCCAGGCCC